GTCAATTCAAATCAGAGTCCTAGCAACTTAATGAATGAGAGTTCTAAAAAGAAGTTGGTTTTGTGCTGGTCTGGTGAGATCTTCCAGAGTCATCCCTACAGCTGCATTCAATGTTTCCAACCATCTAGTAGTTGGTCTCCTTCTTTGCCTGGTGCCTTTTGTCTTCCCAAACATCATTTCCCTCTTTAGTGATCTCTCTGTAACAATGTGACCACAATAGGACAGTCATAACTTCATCATTTGGGCTGCTATGTTACTAAAAGCCCACATGATGAAGTTACGACTGTCCTATTTTGGTCACATTGTTAGAGAGAGAGAGAATCACTGAGGAGGGATATCATGTTTGGGAAGATCAAATGCACAAAGCAAAGAGAGAGACAACAACTAGATGGTTGGACACTTTGAATACAGCTGTGGAGATGACATCGCAAGATCTCAAACTAGCACAAAACCGACTTCTTTTTAAACTCTTATTTAAGTCACCAGGACTCAGACCCAAGTTGACGGCACTTCACAAAAAAAAAAAAAAAAGACAGGGTTATGACCCCTGTCAATTTTTTTCTTGTATCTTGCATCTGTGTCCAATTAAGGAAATTTGCCTTCACCCTTCACTTCCTGCCCCATAGCCAAAACAGGATGTAAGAGGAAATCCCTACTAATTTGGGAAATCCTTTGGGGCCCCCCAGGTCAACAGAACTAGCATCCCAAGTGGAAGATTTCCCCTCTATTACTTTTCTGGAGACAACCTAAAATTTGGGATTTACTTTTACTTTCGCTTTCAGTGATAAGGGTAAACAGGGCAAATAGAGAGGATAAATCTTCCTAATGGGTACGCAGACAGCAATAAAACCTAGCAGGTGTTCTAATCTTCAGTCTGTCCAAAACTAAAAAAAAATGTTTTGCCTTTAGTTATACTTTAAGATCAGAAAAGCCATGGTAACTTGTGATGCTAGTACTATACCGGCTAAGAAAATTAACAGTTGCTTGAAGACTAGAACAGTACCCAGTGGATCAAGGTTTGTGGGATCCAACTCTGAACAGCTTTCTCCCAGAAGATTAGCTCTTCCATTTTATATACGAAGTTTAACTGGTACACCCATTGTAGGAGGTGTCTGCAGATCAAATTATCTGATGAGCATCTGTACCATCAGGTTTATACACTGCAATTCTTGGGAACTGTATGGCACAGATAGTGTGTGTGTCAGTGTAAATTACTTTTTCCAGTTTGATTCCTTCAGGTTTCAGATTGGGCTCCTGTGTGGTAATGATGTGTGGAATAGTGGAGGCACATTTCTGGAGTAATAAAGTATATACGGTGGATATTACATGAATCTCTCCCTTTGAGAACGTGCAAGAGCACGAAACGCGTTAGCGAGGTGCCCTAAATCCTGTGACGTAGCACCGCACGGCCCTCGTGTGGACGGACGGCGGCCATTTTGATTTCTCCTTGCCAGCCTTTCAACTACTGCATGTGAGTTTATGCGTGTATATTATACCCCCGTGGTTTCCATTAAAGTACTACACTATCAGATTCTTCTGTGTTCTGGCTCGTTACTCCCGAGCCCCCCCCCCCCCTTTTCAAGGCATATAAGGATGACCTGGTGGCCACTGCATGTATGGTGAGACAGGCTCCCCCTGCTGGTGAGAGGATTGCTTTCCCCCTGGTACCTGGAGACCCTGAGGGTGCGATACTTGCTTAGCTGACGCAGGCCAGAGTTTTCAACTCTGTGAAAGTGGGAGCGGGTACCTGTCAAATTCGGCTACCCGCTCCCCCCCCCCCCTCCCCAAAGGTCCACAGTCTCTGGTCATCTGTAGTAGTCTCTGGTCATCTCCTGTACCGTGTCCGCAGTCTCTGGTCATCTCCTGTACCGTGTCCGCAGTCTCTGGTCATCTCCTGTACCGTGTCCGCAGTCTCTGGTCATCCCCTGTACCGTGTCCGCAGTCTCTGGTCATCTCCTGTACCGTGTCCGCAGTCTCTGGTCATCTCCTGTACCGTGTCCGCAGTCTCTGGTCATCCCCTGTACCGTGTCCGCAGTCTCTGGTCATCCCCTGTACCGTGTCCGCAGTCTCTGGACATCCCCTGTACCGTGTCCGCAGTCTCTGGACATCCCCTGTACCGTGTCCGCAGTCTCTGGACATCCCGTGTACCGTGTCCGCAGTCTCTGGACATCCCGTGTACCGTGTCCGCAGTCTCTGGTCGTCTCCTCTACTACGTCCACAGTCTTTGGTCACCTCCTGTGCTGTGTATGCAGTCTCTGGTCATCTCTCCTGTACTATGTCCAAAGTCTCTGGTCATCTCCTGTACTATGTCTGCAGTCCATTGGTTCAGAATATTTTTTTTCTTGTTTTCCTCCTCTAAAACCTAGGTGCATCTTATGGTCAGATGCGTCTTATGGAGCAAAAAATATGGTACCTTATGTACCCATGGAGTTGCATCTATCTGCAGAGTTTACTCTTCTTCAGGCAGGAATTATTTTTTGATAAACAATGCATCTTGCCAAAAAGAGAACACCAGAAGTCTGAAAAAACTTAGCCGTGCTCTTGAGCGCCTGTAGTGCAAGACTAGGTTTCAGAAAGATTTCAACCAATATAGATCTGCCCTTCAAAAATACTACTCCTGCCTCCACGCTGCCAAGTAAACCTATTTTATCACTCTCATTAACACCTCATCATCCAGTCCCCATCAACTCTTCTCTACCTTCAACTCTCTACTTCGCCCTCCACTGCCTCCGCCCACCACCTTTCTCTTGAGAAGAGGAGATTAAGGGGGATATGATCACCATGTACAATACATAAGGGGGGATATGATCTCCAAGTATAATACATAAGGGGGGATATGATCTCCATGTATAATACATAAGGGGGGATATGATCTCCATGTATAATACATAAGGGGGGATATGATCTCCATGTATAATACATAAGGGGGGATATGATCTCCATGTATAATACATAAGGGGGGATATGATCACCATGTATAATACATAAGGGGGGATATGATCTCCATGTATAATACATAAGGGGGGATATGATCTCCATGTATAATACATAAGGGGGGGATATGATCTCCGTGTATAATACATAAGGGGGGGATATGATCACCATGTATAATACATAAGGGGGATATGATCTCCATGTATAATACATAAGGGGGGATATGATCTCCATGTATAATACATAAGGGGGGATATGATCTCCGTGTATAATACATAAGGGGGGATATGATCACCATGTATAATACATAAGGGGGATATGATCTCCATGTATAATACATAAGGGGGGATATGATCACCATGTATAATACATAAGGGGGGGATATGATCACCATGTATAATACATAAGGGGGGATATGATCTCCATGTATAATACATAAGGGGGGATATGATCTCCATGTATAATACATAAGGGGGGATATGATCTCCATGTATAATACATAAGGGGGGGGTATGATCTCCATGTATAATACATAAGGGGGGATATGATCTCCATGTATAATACATAAGGGGGGATATGATCTCCATGTATAATACATGAGGGGGGGGATATGATCTCCATGTATAAATACATCAGTGGTTCATATAGTGATCTCAGTGTAGAGTTATTCCCTTTAAGGGCATCACAGAGGACGAGGAGGCACTCTTTATGTCTGAAGGAAAAGAGATTTAACCTCCAAATACAGAAAGGCCTCTTCACAGTAAGAGCGGTGAAATGTGGAATAAACTCCCTGAAGAACTGGTTGTGGCCTACTCATTAAAAGTATTCATACCCCTTGAAATTTTCCACATTTTGTCATGTTACAACAAAAACCGTAAATGTATTTTATTGGGATTTTATGTGATAGACCAACACAAAAGTGGCACATAATTATAAGGTGGAAGGAAAATGATAAATATTTTTCAAAATTGTTTACAAATAAATATCTGAAAAGTGTGGTGTGCATTTATATTCAGACCCTTTTCTCGGATACCCCTAACTAAAATCTAGTGGAACCAGCTGCCTTCAGAAGTCACCTAGTTAGTAAATAGAGTCCACCTGTGTGTACTTTAATCTCAGTATATATACAGCTTTCTGTGAAGCCCTCAGAAGTTTGTTAGAGAACATTAGGGAACAAACAGCATCATGAAGGCCAAGGAACACACCAGACACGTCAGGGATAAAGTTGTGGAGAAGTTTAAAGCAGGGTTAGGTTATAGATTTACGTTTTTGCTTGTAACATGACAAGATGTGGAAAATTTTAAAGAGTATGAATACTTTTTCAAGGCACTGTATATGTAAAGTTGATACAGGGAATATCCAATTGCCTCTTGGGGGATCAGGAAGGAATTTTGTTTCCTCCTGCTGGAGCAAATTGGATCATGCTTTCTTGGGGTTTTTTTGCTTTCCACTGGATCAACTGTAGGTATAGGATTGTGTATTTGCAGGTTTTCTATTTGTGTATTTGTTTGTTTTTGTTTTCATCTGTGGGTTGAGCTGGATGGATGTATTTTTTTCAACCAGACTAATTATGTAACTGTATAATTGATGGTGTGGGTGTTTGTGGCTGTTTGTGTCTGCTGTGTGTGTTTGACTGTTTTTTGATGGTTGATCTGTTATGTTGTTGTTTTTTGTTTTGTAACTCTTACTGTTCTCTGTAAAGGGCTCATGGCCTGGCAATAATTTGTTATTTGTTTCTGATCCCTTTCTGTGTACCCTTGCTCTAAGGTTTTAGTTTGGGGTTCCTGTTATCATTTGTTTCTTTTTTTTTTTTGGTATTGTTTGTGTTTTATAAATGCAAAATAAATAAACACCTTTTAAAAAAAAAAAAATTATGTAATATATATGTAAACATTATATTAGTAGCTTCAATTAACCGAATTCTGAAAAAAATCCTTAAAAGAACACAAATTCACAAAACTCATCTTTTAGGAGGTTTAGCAGTAATACTTTTATATAATATTGTTTTTTTTTTTTTATTCTTTTTCTAACCCAGCAAATTGTTATAGGTATTTAAAAGTATTTACCTGCCTTATCCTTAAGAGATTTGGCCAGCGGGTAGATGAAGAAATTGTGGCATCCACTCCAGTGCACACTTATGGCATTAGGTAAAGCTACAGAAAGAGAAATAAATGGGTTTTAAACAGAATGTTATAATCCGTATATTTTATGTTTATATTGTGTATTCAAACAAAAATGAATAGAGAATGTAGCTGGTAGCGACATCTAGTGGTCAAAAACCATAGGTACAGCACCATTTCACAAGTGTGACTAAAGAACACCCCTCAGGTTTTTTTTTTTTTTTTTTTTTGCAGTCTGTGCCAGGGGAAAATTTGTCATGTTTACCATTATCATCAAAAGTGAAAGTATAAGAAACCCCAAATTTGAGCTTGTCTCCAGAAAAGTAATAGAGGGAAATCTCCAAATGGGGACACTAGTTCTTGTGACCTGGGGGTCCCCAAGGAATTCCTTTAATTTGCAGAGATTTTCTAACTTCCTGTTTTGGCTATGAGACAGGAAGTGAAGGTAAATATCTCCAATGGGACACGGATGGCAAAATATATACTAACAGGGGTTATAATCCTCCCTTACGCTATCCAAAATGAAAAAAAAAAAAACAAACAAAACATGTTTTGCCTATACTTCTACTTTAAGGAACCCTTTAAATTTATGCATAACCCATTCTAATATGTAAAAAAAAAAATTTAACGAATAGTTTTACTGAATGCAGCAACATCCACACATATAGGACCACAACATTAGAGATGATTTATTCTTCCAAGCAAACACACCTTTGCATACTGGTACTGACTACTAATCCAATGTTTCTTTTCTCCCTCAGTTTCTCTCCCTCACTCAGCTAATGTGACCCCAGTGCTGACGGAGAGGGGCAAACAAGGATTCTGAGCAGGCACCGGACGTCCTCCTCATCAACCAATGATGTCATTGTAATGGTGCACAATCAGGGGCGGACTGACAACTCATGGGGCCCCTGGGCAATAGGGGATCATGGGACCCCTGTGTCCTTGCCCAAACTCAAAAAAGCCTATGAAAAAAGGTACCAGGGGCATCTCATGGGGCCCCCTACTGACCCCGGGCCCTCAGGCAGTGCCAGAGTTTCCAAATGGTCAGTCCGCCCCTGTGCACAATGGAAACCTGTGGCTTTATGCAACTAAAAGGCAGGTTTGATCCACCTGCTGATTTGTATACAATTTTTGGGCCACTTTTAGGCATTTTTACTAAGGCACTCCTGAAAAAACCTGAAGGCACCCTGGTTGAAAATGGCTGAGTTAAAGTATAAATTCCAACCAAGATGGCAAAAAACTGCTGTCAGGAAGTTACTGCTGCCTGTGTCCTCTAATGGGAGATTTATCCTATGCACTGGAAGGAGGTCTACCTGTCAGAGGTTCTACTCCTTCCAAATTCTACACAGAAGGTATGTATTGTATTTACTGCTGTACACATCACTGTAAGAAAAAAAAAAAGGGCACAGGCTGCGAAAAAAAAGAAAAACCTGGCAGACATTTTAAACACTGAACAATAAAAAAAAAGTTTTGATTGGACTCCCACATTTACTGGGCACTGTGAGGTCTGTACATACTTACAGCATTATTTATGGTAACAACCCTTAAATCTAATAAATGATTCATCATTTTACAGCAATACAAACCTGTACCATTATAGTAATATATACATTTTCAGCATGAGAACATTAGGTCTTTGAGGCTCGGTTCGCACTACATGCGACTCCAAAGTCGCACAATACATAGTGCAACTTTCAGGTGACTTTTACACTCTATGGCACTCAAGTCACAACAAAGCTACATCAAAATAGTGCTGGAACCTTCTTTAAAGACGCTATGACTATAGTCACATAGATTGGAATGGGTGCCATTAAAATAAATGGGATTTGACTTATTATTATTATAATACAGGATTTATATAGCGCTGACAGTTTTCACAGTGATTTACAACATGAGGGCAGACAAGGAAAGTTACAATACAATATAATACAGGAGGAATAAGAGGGCCATGCGACTTTATGTGTTGAAAGTCACACTAGTGTGAACTGAGCCTTAAGACAGCAAAAAGTTTTAAAAAGAATAACAAAACAGGAAACAAAACAGCAAAACAGGAAACTTCACAGTAATTGTAAGACAAATTTGCCAACTTAATTTTTACATTGTTTCAAAAAAGAAGATAAAGGCTTTTTTTTTATTGTAAGCTGAAAAAAATATAAAAATATGGCATTTTTTTATTAAGGCATCTGCCTCTTTCCAGCAGCTGAAGTGGCCAAGTTAGTAAACAAACCCATGTAATCATCATGATCAGCTGTCATGGTGGTCACATAATCGTGAACCATGCCGACGCTGTCAGGAACAACATGGTCTTAGGCTGGCCATACATTATACAATTATCTTCCAATTTTCTGCCCAATTTCCTTTAGATTTACCTTCAACTGTGTAGTGCAAGGGCCTGCCTAATTGGATACAACTGAAAGTGTTGTTTAGGTTTGTCCTCCTATTATATGTTTTTTGGTAAATCTAAACCAAAAATCTCCAGATAATTGTATAATGTATGGCCAGCCTTAGACTCTGCTGCATTTGGTTACTAGTTATAAGACTACACTGTCACAATTTTTGATTCTAAAATGTTAAACTACATATTGTGGGCATCTATTCTTTGAAAAAACATATAGTGTTTTTGTTTTTAAATATTTAAATAATATATTTATTTATTATGGCTATACGTAGTTAAGTAATTTTTCCTTTTATTAGGCAGGTAAATGTGAAACATTGCATATAAATATTGTGTAGCCTTCTATTCAGCCAGAAGGTGGTGCTTTAGGCCTCGTATTCCCATGTTTTCCTCCCCTTATCACTCGTTTTAAGAATCCAATTTTACAGAGTTTGTAACAGTCTTGCACACTGCAGTGCCAATGCAAGACAAGGAAAAAAGCCTTTTTTCCTGTCCTGTCGGTTCATACCACCACATAGTATGTTCGATAACTTAACTTGTGATATTTTAATACATTTTCTACATAAAGAAAAATTAACAGTGCGACGCTCCAGGATTGGCACATCTGCACTATTCCTCCCAGACCACGCCATCAGCTGTGCATTCAACTGCTAATGTCAATGAGCCCTTAAGCTGAAATTTGACCAGTGCAGAAGGAACCGAACAAATTTCAAATCATCTATGGCATATGTATCAAACACAAGGTCTGCGAGCCAAATCTGGCCCACCTGGCCATTTCATGTGGTCTTTGTACCTCTCCTGCAGCTGCAGCCCCCCCTTGTCTCCACCCTCACCATTCTGCAGCAGAGAGAAGGACAGAACTCCTCCACCAGATCCTGCACTTCTCTGCACCCCATTGTTTCTGCCTATCCTGGTCTCAGCATTCAGCTCACTCCAGTCCTCCTCTGATCCTCCCCCCAGACCCTGCACTTTCTGCTTCCCAGCTCCCCAGCCAGCTTCTTCCCAGCAGCACAAGGTAAGGGGGGTGCACGGTGATTTAAGGGAGGGTGAGGGAGTCTTGAATTATGATGGTGGGTGGGCTTTTGACATCTGATATTGGGGGGTGGGGTGCTCTAGACATCTAGTCTTACAGATACAACCAGCCCTTTGAGGGCAACCATAATGCTGATGAAACTGATTTTGACACCCCTGGTCTATGGGCAGGCTGGTCTATCAATCGCCTTCAGTACAATCAGCCTGTTAGGTGTTTTTTCGTACGATCACTGCCAGCAACTATAACCACCCGCTATGATCATTGTATTCTGATGGCTAGGAAATCTCCCGCTGTTAGAATACAATAATGCAGTAGGAGGGATTGTCCATTCAATACTGACTGGGTTCATTCCTTCAACCCATGGTAATATGCATAATCTATGGCCAGCCTTAGTGAGTAGAAAAGTAAAAATACACACTTACCTGACTGCATGGTTTCTGTATCATTGTGCAGTATTTTATTTGGTTGAAGTATATGAAACATGGTGTGCCTGAACAAAACAGAAAGATTATTTACAAGTCACTTGTGCATCAACGTGGAATCAACACAGGAATTTAATTTCGTTTTTAGTAACACAAGTAAAAGAGATCAGCTTGATGTAAATATTCTTTCCTATTTGTGGTAAAGTGGTTGTAAAGGCTCGAGTCTTTTTACCTTCATGCATTCTATGTATGAAGGTTAAAAACCTTCTGTGTGTAGCATCCCCCCACTCCCCTCAATACTTACCTGAGCCTCACTGCAATCCAGCGGTGTGAATGACAGCCTCTGCTGCCCCGGGTCTCTGCCTCCTCATTTGCTGATGGCTCCCGCTGCTGTCAATCACAGCCAGTCAGCCAATAAGGAGGGGGGAGGCCAAGCCGCGGCTCCGTGTGAATGAATACACGGAGCAGCGGTGCCCCCATAGCAAGCTGCTTGCTGTGGGGGTACCAGACAGACAGAAGGAACCAGGAGAGCCTGTGATGGACCCAAGAGGAGGAGGATCCAGGCTGCTCTGTGCAAAACCATTGCACACAGCAGGTAAGTATAGACATGTTTGTTATTTTCCACAAAAAAAAAAAAAAAATGTACCTTTTAAAAATCGCTTTAAACTGTATGTACAAGCAAACATTTTTTCCCTAGTTTTGGACAGAGCACGGATGAGTTCCTGTCTGTGTCTCCGCTGTGGAATTTCACACTCTGACAGGTGTCCATTGTCAGAATGAGAATGCCAAAATTTTGGATATTTGACCAGAACAGAAGGTGAGGTGATATCCTCTAATGGGGACTCTGTCCCAGCAACAACAGACTAAAGGAGGAATGCTCTTCAACCTAGGTCCGGGGTCTCCAAACTTTTTAAACAAAGATCCAGTTTACTGCCCTTCAAACTTTGGGGGGGGGGGGGGGGGGGGGGCTGTGGCCAGTGAGAGTAAAAAATGACTTGGCAACAGTGGGAGTAAATAATTCATCATTGATATTAGTGGAAGGAATAATGCCCTATTGTAGGTGTCAGTGAGAGGTAGAGCAACATTGTTGGTGTCAACATTGTTGGTGTCAGTGGGAGGAACAGTGCTCCACTCTCGGTGTCAGTGGGAGGAATAGTGCTCCACTCTCTGTGTCAGTGGGAGGAATAGTGCTCCACTCTCTGTGTCAGTGGGAGGAATAGTGCTCCACTCTCTGTGTCAGTGGGAGGAATAGTGCTCCACTCTCTGTGTCAGTGGGAGGAATAGTGCTCCACTCTCGGTGTCAGTGGGAGGAATAGTGCTCCACTCTCGGTGTCAGTGGGAGGAATAGTGCTCCACTCTCGGTGTCAGTGGGAGGAATAGTGCTCCACTCTCGGTGTCAGTGGGAGGAATAGTGCTCCACTCTCGGTGTCAGTGGGAGGAATAGTGCTCCACTCTCGGTGTCAGTGGGAGGAATAGTGCTCCACTCTCGGTGTCAGTGGGAGGAATAGTGCTCCACTCTCGGTGCCAGTGGGAGGAATAGTGCTCCACTCTCGGTGCCAGTGGGAGGAATAGTGCTCCACTCTCGGTGCCAGTGGGAGGAATAGTGCTCCACTCTCGGTGCCAGTGGGAGGAATAGTGCTCCACTCTCGGTGCCAGTGGGAGGAATAGTGCTCCACTCTCGGTGTCAGTGGGAGGAATGGTGCTCCACTATCGGTGTCAGTGGGAGGAATAGTGCTCCACTCTCTGTGTCAGTGGGAGGAATAGTGCTCCACTCTCGGTGTCAGTGGGAGGAATAGTGCTCCACTTGTTGGTCAGTGGGAGGAATAGTGCTCCATTGTTGGTGTCAGTGGGAGGAATAGTGCTCCACTGTCGGTGTCAGTGGGAGGAATAGTGCTCCATTGTTGGCGTCAGTGGGAGGAATAGTGCTCCATTGTTGGTGTCAGTGGGAGGAATAGTGCTCCACTGTCGGTGTCAGTGGGAGGAATAGTGCTCCATTGTTGGCGTCAGTGGGAGGAATAGTGCTCCACTGTCGGTGTCAGTGGGAGGAATAGTGCTCCATTGTTGGCGTCAGTGGGAGGAATAGTGCTCCATTGTTGGCGTCAGTGGGAGGAATAGTGCTCCACTGTCGGTGTCAGTGGGAGGAATAGTGCTCCATTGTTGGCGTCAGTGGGAGGAATAGTGCTCCAAGGGCTTGATAAAGGCAAGCAAAAAGCCACATCTGGCCCCTGGGCCACAGTTTGAACACCACTGCTCTAGAGAAGCCATTCATAACCAGGGTTCCCCTAGAGGTTATTTGGGGTTGATTCAGCGGTGGCTGATTGACCTCCCATTTGATGGTGCTTGCATAGTTCCGGGACCAACACTGCTTGGGTAGGCCAGCTGCATGATAGCAATGATCTTTTTAACTATGTGTAAGGGCTGCATTCGGACCACTACTGTAAAGCGGCATTCTTCCCACTGACCACCTATACAAGAGGTATTTTTTTCCACTTATTTTTTTCCATTTAATTAGTTTGAGCAGGGATTCTTGGAGACCTAATAATTATGTCAAGGATTCCTCTGGGGTAAAAAGATTGAGGGTATTTCATGGATTCTTCTGGGGTAAAAAGCTGCTCTAAAATCATTTAAGTAAACGCAAATTCCAAGTTGGACACATGTAGCAAACAATAACCTGAAAGGGTTTTTTTAACCCATCCTAACCCTGTCCAAAACTAAAATGGAAAGTTTTGGATATACACATTGACTCTTTATACAATCCATTCCTGTATGACTGATACCTTATCTTAGCATATGTTAAAGTAGAATTCCAGGATAACACAAACTACTCTTAAAAACAACCCCCCCCCCCCCCCCCCCCTTCCCCAACACCTCACTTAGTAAAGCCAGCTATGTCAAATGTCGACCAGTTCACCAATTCAGCAGGGACCAGCAGAAATTTGAACCATTTTTGGGTAGGCTGAATATACCCAAGTTGATCATCCATCAACTTGGGTACAACCAGCTTGTCTGATTTTACATGTGATTATTGCTAGCAGAGGGGTGGGACATCCCCCACCTCCCATCCCCCTACCTACAGGGAGAACACAATGGCTCCACAGGCAACCCTTGTTTGCAGGAAAGAAAATCACTCCATCTGTGGTCAGCTTAACCTTTGTAAAAAAGATGCATATACTTACCTACGTTCAGGCCGCTCTGGTCTAGACATGTGATCCCTCTCCCCTGTGGCAGCCAAAGCTGTTGCAGGGGAGAGGAGGGAGCACAGACAATGAATGGGCCACAGTAAGCCGATGGATGACGTCACAAGTCCAGGCTTTACTAGCTGCTGACAAGCACTCTCTCCTCTGCCCTGTAGCTGGCTAATGTAGCCACAGGTTAGTAAGCATAAGTGGTGTTTATCCTGGAATATCACTTTAAGCAGAAGTTAAAAAGTTTTTCTGAAAGCTAAATATACACATTTCTAGGCACATTATAATTACAAAAATATGGACAAGGAAACTTGTAAAAATGTAAGTCACATCAAAAATGAATTCAATTTAAATCCTGTAATACAATTGCTGAAGATATATATTATACTTCCCTTTTAAACCATTTATTACAAAATGAGATAACAAATAACTAAATAAAAATAAATTGTGAGCCAGGCCTTAGTAATGTTGACTTTTCATCTAAAGAAACTTGCAGAGGTTGGGGAAAAAATGTGATTTCCGAAAGTCAGAGCAATGCAAAATGCGGTGTTTTATCTTCCAGATGTAGCTTAAAAGGATGAAAGTCAAAACTGGCTGTACAAGGCTGTAATGAGAAGATGTATTTCTCCTTTGATATAGGATTTACAAACCAGCCCCATGAACACTTCCTCCTTCAGGCTCAGGTCAGAGGGGGCATTTTTGCACTCTGCAATGTTTAGAATTGAGATTCACAGCACGCACGCTCCTGTCTACACAAGAAAGTATGATCAGCTCAAGAGAAATTGCTCCACCTCTTAAAGCTCCATTAAACCCAAAACCAAAAATGTAATATATTGAAGTGTACTAGTCCTTAGATGTGGTGGCTGCATTAGTTTTCTCTTTTTTTGGTGATCCGGCCAGTAATACAGTGCCCCCACTCTGGATGAAGGAGCAATAGAGACTCCTTTGGACAGCAGCAGTGTTAGTCTAGAGCAGGGGTAGGCAACCTGCAGCTCTCTAGCTGTTGTGGAACTACATTTCCCATGAGGCATTGCAAAGATTACAAAACGGACAGTTACAGCTATGACTTGCAGAGGTATGATGGAACTTGTAGTCCTGCGGCTCTCAGGTTGCCTACCCCTGGTCTAGGGGGAGGGGAGTGTTAGTGTAACTAAATCAGCTAGTACATCTAACAAATTGAAGACAAACGCTAAAATTTTTTAAGCAGTTACAGTAAAGATTTTTTTCTTATGAGATAAAGGTTTTACATAGATAAATAAGAGCTGATCATTGTAAGAACCCCTGTCCATGGCAAATTGTTTGTCTCAACCCTTTGACTGCTACATCTGCAGGACACCATGGTCTGTTGAAAAATAGACTTACTGGCCAGATTACCAGTGAAAAATAAAGTAAAGTAAGTCTAAAAAGACAACTAATGCAGCCATCGCGTCCAAGAATTGGTAATACAATGTTTGCTTTTAGGTCTCATTCTGCTTTACAGCTACTTGCAGCAGGGATTCATGTGCTATAGGACTCCTATGGGTCTAGGGCAGTAGATTAAGACTGGCCATACATGGGGTTTTTTTTTGTGAAGATTCAACAAATATTCAAATAATATTTAATCATTTTATTTCATCAGAAAAATCCTGAAATAACAAAATGACAGTATAATTTGCAGGTATTGTGTAACATGTACAGAATATACAGGCTGCAGAAAAAAAAAGATTCCTCCATCCACACTATACAGACAGATGAACAGATCTCCTGCTGGGCTATTGTATTCTGACAGCCGCTGGTGGATGCAGCTGCTGTTTGGCCAACAATTTTCCTGATTTATCAACTGAAAGATGCCAGTGGGAGGGGGCTGACAGGGCAATCCACTAAGAGAATTTCACCCAGTACATCAGGAGCTGCCCAAAATTCGAATAGTGTATGGACAGCATTGCCCAGCCATTCCCCCTCTCTGCTGCAGTATCCCTACCTGTCTAAGTGTCAACTGGTGTTGAAGCTTGGGCAAGGGGGTAAAGTCGTGGCACGCCACATGACAGTGTTCTGGCCTCATGATTGGCTGCTCAGGTCCAAGCACTGTTACATTAGACGTTTCCCTATCTGAGAAGCCTCACTCTGATAGCAAGAGCTCTTGCAGTGCAGGGAGGGAGCCAGGAAGTGTGGTTGGGTAATGCCTAGCATACATGATGAGAATATCGGATTAATGATCGTCCATTTTTATTTTTTGCATGCTAGTCTCATATCAAAAAAGAACAAGTTACTATAGTTACAAAAATTCTAATAAGACAGAACACAACTTCACGAGTGATGTAATGTATTGTATTATATTGTAATGTATTCTTTTGTTTCCAAGCAAGCGCGGTCTTGTTCACAAATACTACACTAAGTACACGAAAATTGTTTATTCTGTTAATTCCTGTACTAATGAATAGATTATTGGATGATTGCTCCGAATGTGTTATTTTATCGTCGGATTTCTCATATAAGAATGTAAAATGAATGTGCAGACCAGGCATAAGTATACATTTACTAAAGTGCCATATCAGCAAAAAAGTTTTCTTTTTTTAATAACTATTTTGCTGACATGGGACTTCAGTAAATCCGGATTCAGAATCTACTTGGTGTGCTAGTTTTCTCTTCATTGCTGGATTCTGTACAGTACTACCGTAAAGCCACGCACCCACCCTTCACAATGGAGGTCTGTGTGGTACGGTTTGATGAATTGTCATTGGTAAACACACATGCATAGGGGTGGTCTATGTGAAGACACTCTCCCTTTGCCCTGAATGAGTAGAGAGGGTCTCCTTAACCACTTGCCGTCCGCCTGCTGTTTATAAACGGCAGGGCGGTGGCAGTCCAGGGGCGGGTTGCCGTTCAGAAACGGCACCTGCCTTTTCTAGCTGTGCGCGCTCCCTGGGAGCGTGCAGCACCGCGATCCGGTGCCCGCTGTGTCCTCTGGACACAGTGAAACACCGATCGTCGGACGGGACCTCTGTACGAGGTCCCGATCATGTGATCACTGATTGGCCAATCAGTGATCACATGCAAAGTAGTAAGCAAGATGTCACTTGTGACATCATTGCTTACTACGTGTGAAATCTGTGAATGATCACAGAGGTCACATGGTACAAGGCTATTCACAACAGCCTTGTACAATGTGACAAGCTGTGACCAATCACAGCTCACTCAATACTTCTCAATGACTGCAAGAATGCAGACAGAGAGAAAGAGAAATGATAGCTTTTACATCCTATATGGGTGTAAAAGCAATCAGTGTAAAAAAAAAAAAAATCTTCATCACCCCCCACAAGTAGTACAGTGTCACCATGGTGACACTGTACTGCTAGGGTGACAGTATAAAAAAAAAAAATTAAAATAAAAATGTAAAAAAAAAAAAATGTTTAAAAATTATAATTTTTGGTTATAAACTAATTTGGATTTTTTATTTTTTACTAAAAAAATAACGGAATAAATTTTGGCCAAGATTTATGATGAAATATTATTTATTTGCAAAATATTATAAAAAAAAAAAAATCACTTTTTCAAAATTTTTGGACTTTTTCATTTACATAGTAAAAAAAAATAAAAATCCCAGCGGTGAATAAATACCACCAAAATAAAGCTTTATCTGTCTCAAAAAAATGGTAAAAAAATTCATATGGGTACATTATTGCATGACCGCACAATTATCATTCAAAGTGTGATAGCGCTGAAAGCTGAAAATTGCCCTGGACAGGAAGGGGGTAAAAGTGTCCGGACAGGAAGTGGTTAAGATTGACTTTTGTTTTTGCACATTTTTGATTGGCAAACTAAACAGTCCAATTTGTATAGGTTTGACAGCATCCTGCCTCTAAGGTCACTTTCACACAGGAATTCCAATCAGATCAGTCTGTCAGTTATTTTAGGCTGACCTAATCGGAAGTTCTATTCATCGCTATAGATAGGTCTGTGTGGGTGACTTGTGTCCGATTACATCCACCCACCTCCGGGTCCGATCAGATCCACAAAAAATGAAACGGTGCTCCGTCGTCTCTCGTTTAGGCAGAGCAGATTGAGGTAATAGGGTGCAAACGGACAGCGGCGTCTGTTTACTCCTGGCCAGCCATACAGCAGTGCGGGCTCTTTCCTTGTCCGCTCTGCAGAAACTGAGCGGACACGGATGTGTCGTCCACCCACTCTGATTGGCAGGGCATTTGTGAGCTGATCCTCTGCTGACCGGAGCAGAATTTGCCCCGGAATAAGATATTCTATTTTGAATTTCCCAGTTAAACAAAATTTTTAAATAAATGTAGTATGATTAGTGACAATACAGATTGCATCAGTAAATGCAGATATTATCTACTTCAAAGGACAGTATGATCTTTAAGTATTGATCTATTCCAAAAACAGCTTTATGCTGCAGTCTTGAACATGGCAGCATAAAGTTTTTTTTGGAATAGATCAATACTAAAAGATCATACTGTCCTATGAGACAGATAGGGGTTTATTTACTAAAGCTGGAGAGTCCAAAATCAGACTCCCTTCTGCATAGAAACCAATCAGCTTGTTCAATGAAGCTTTGGCAATGAAACCTGGAAGCGGATTGGTTTCTATGCAGAAGGGAGTCTGATTTTGGACTCTCCAGCTTTAGTAAATAAACCCCATAATGTCTGCATTTACAGCTGCGAACTGCATTGTCACCTAAAAGTAGAAACGATCAATAATGGTTTTGCCTGTATTTATTTGGGTTGCAAACCATCATATAAAGCCATAACAATATTTTCCTACACAGCTGTAACCTCCTTTACCTTGATTTTTCTCCTTCTGGGATTTTTGGCATATCTATACTAAAATATTTTTCATACATGTCCATAAATATCGCTTCTTGCTGCTCCCATTGATGAGAACTGATGTTGTGATTCTGTCCAGTACCAAACACACTGCTGTCATCACTCTTCTGCACAGCCTCTTGAACAGATTTAAATGTGCTTCCTATGTGACAAACACAAAGTAGACATTTGTAAGTAATCAAACAGCATTGTTTTTTTCATTTTAGTGACTTCTTGACTTAAAGGGCTTGTTCATTCCAGACAGAATGCTAAAACCTGTGTGAGCTGGTGTACGTTGTGTGTAAGGATGGTACTATACATTGTTAAAACATACAGTTGCAAGAAAAAGTATGTGAACCCCTTGGGATTACGTGGAGTTTTGCATGAATTGGGCATAAAATGTGCTCTGAACGTCATGTAAACATTCACAGTGCAGGGAGGAAAAAGTATGTGAGGCCCTAGCTTAATGACTTCTCCCAGAGCTAATTGGAGCCAGGAGTGAGCCAACCTTGACTCCAATCAGTGTGATGATATTGGATGTGTTGCTGACAGCTGTCCTGCCCTTAAAAAACACACACCTGTTTTGGGTTTACTGGTTTCAAGAAGCACTGTCTGATGTGAACCATGCCTCGCAGAAAAAAGAGCTCTCAGAAGACCTACGATCAAGAATTGTTGACATGCATGTACGACCATCTGTCCGCCAACTGAAGCTCCGCAGAGGATGGGTGATGCAACAGGACAATGACCCAAAGCATACAAGTAATTCAACAAAACAATGGCTGCAACAGCACAGAATACGTCTTCTGGAGTGGCCCAGTCAGAGTCCTGACCTCAACCCGATTGAAATGCTGTGGAATGACCTTAAGAGAGCGATTCACACCAGACATCCCAAGAATATTGCTACACTGAAACAGTTTTGTGAAGAGGAGTGGTCCAAAATGACTCCAGATCGTTGTGCAGGTCTGATCTGCAACTACAGGAAACGTTTGGTTGAGGTTATTGCTCCCAAAAGGAGGGTCAACCAGTTATTAAGTCCAAAGGTTCACATACTTTTTCCTCCCTGCACTGTGAATGTTTACATGTTATGTGCAATTAAACCATGGCAACATCTAATGTTTGTGTAGTATTATGTTCAGCAGACTGCGTTCTTCTATTGTTGTGACTTAGATGACATTCAGAGCACATTTTATGCCCAATTCATGCAAAACTCCACGTAATCCCAAGGGGTTCACATACTTTTTCTTGCAACTGTATCACAATGTTTACTTTTTTAGCCTTGCTTAAAAGAGAAAAACAGTCAAAGCCTTTTTCCATGCTTACATTTTCTCTCCTGCGACCCAAAATGGGTCATCATTGGGATAACGTCTACTGTTGGCTGAGGTCACAGAGAAGAGCCGCACTACCACTGGAAGGATCCCAAATATTTTGTTGGGATCCATCCACCTGCCTGATTGACAGCTGGGTAAGAGCGATCTGGAGTCAGCTGCTCCTGCCCCCTCTTCAGCCTGATGCTCCAGTGAGTGCTAGTGGGGCAGAGCAGAGAGTGACTGACAGTCACCATTCTCCAATCAGAGGGCTTAGAGCTGATGGGGGATGGCTGCAGCATCACAGAGATGCTGCAGCATAGAGGTGGATATGTGTGTTAATTTTTTTTAGTAACACCTCACTTCTGCTTTAAGTGTCACAAAATGACATTACATTCAAGTCTATGCCCTGCAGAGCATTGCAACGTGTGGCAGTGTGCTGACATGCAGTGCCATGTGTTTCACTGTTCAAAAATGCAGATGCAGACATGCTGCATCCTTATTCAGCACATCAGCTATCAGTGCAATGTTATGGTTTGAACAAATGCCTATGCATTGAGGCTGCACTGATCTGTGCAGATCAACACAGCTCAAACCCCACCTGTGCCTTTTCATGTAAGGCAAAGCAATTAGTTTGCTTTAATGCCCATCGGGCAGCACAGTGGCTAAATAGTTAGCACTTCTGCCTGGCAGTACTAGGGTCGTTGGTCCGAATCCCAACCACAGCACCACCTGCCTGGATAAAAACAGAAAAGGGCTAAGCAAGCGCTACAAGAAAAGCTGCTGAGACACCAAAAAGGTAACCAAAAAGACCTCCTAGGTAAATGATAATAATAAATGGGTGCAGCGCTAATATCAAATAAACATATACATAAAGTGCTAATGCAAATGGAAAATGATGGATCATTCAAAATCAATTACAGATATAAAGTGTCAATGGTGCTATTAGTGACCAAAAACATGAGAATACATGTTTGAATACATGCCTTTAGAGTTCAACCCCCACCTTCCCAAAACATTAGTGAACCACCACCATGCTTTACAGTGGGGATAGAATTCTTGTCACTATAGGGCTTGTTGACCCCTCTCTAAACACAGCACGTATGGTTCTGACCATAAAGCTCTATTTGGTCTCATCACTCCAGATTACAGTATGAAAAGGGTATTCTGTTTGTTACCTTCCAACCATGTGCAAGCAAAGATGCTATTTTTTTATTTTCCTTGCATGTGATTGGGTATTCTTTGTAAAGTGACGCTTTACCTCATTTACTAAGCTCTGTAGCAACTGCACTTGCCTTGCACAGTATATTTGCCTTTAGTAAATAAACCCCAATGTGCCATATGTTCATCTTTGCAACTGTAAACAGGATATACAAACTCCATGCATGCAGTGACCTGATGGGAACTGAATCTAGGATCTCTGTCCTGCAAAGTGAAATTGACAAGCAATGTGTCATGTCAGAGATCAACAATTAAGTCACATTACCTGTAATTGGCTTTGGTGGCTTAATCTTCATTAAAAGCACTGGCTGTGCAATCTTTGGTTCTGATAGATGCATACCAGCAGACTAAAATCAAAACAGCCACAAATAATTGTTACTTGTCATTACAAATAAAAGCTAAAATGAAAACAAAATAATCAAGTAACCTCAAATGATCTTTTGAAAAAATAGCTCCTAGGGTTTTTACAGTAAGCGGTGGTCAATTTATCATTTTAGAAAGCTTGTTTGCCAGGGACAGAAATCCAATAGTGATTTATGCTTTACACATTTACAGAATTATTTAAGGCAATGTAATAGCAGGGATGATTTGCAAAGTGCAATAATCCATAGAACCAATCAAACTTAAACAGCTGAGACAATGAACGATGTTTGCTCATTGGTTGCTGTAGGGTACGGCACTTAGCTCTTTGTTGCAATTGACATGGTTGGTGTGCTTGTATGAGTTGACAAAAGGAGTCAATAGAGTTAGGTATAGAAAAAAATGGTTATACCAACAATTTATACCTACAGAATGATGCCTGCAGGTCTTAAGCCTATTGTTCAAATCACACAATTTATACAGTGCATTTATAAGGTATTTAGACCCCCTTCACTTCTTTCAATGTCGTTATGTTTCACCCTAATACTACAGTTGTTTAAATTCACTTTTTCTCATTAATCTACACTCAGTACCCCAATGACAAAGTGAAAACAGAATTCTAGAAATGTTTGCAAATGTATGTACTGTATATACTCGAGTATAAGCCGACCCGAATATAAGCCGAGGTACCTAATCTTACCACAAAAAACTGGGAAAAACTATTGACTCGAGTATAAGCCGAGGGTATCAGTGGGAGGAATAGTGCCCCACCATTGGTATCAGTGGGAGGAATAGTGCCCCACCATTGGTATCAGTGGGAGGAATAGTGCCCCATCATTGGTGTCAGTGGGAGGAATAGTGCCCCATCATTGGTTACAGTGGGAGGAATAGTGCCCTATCATTGGTATCAGTGGGAGGAATAGTGCCCCATCATTGGTGTCAGTGGGAGGAATAGTGCCCCATCATTGGTATCAGTGGGAGGAATAGTGCCCCATCATTGGTGTCAGTGGGAGGAATAGTGCCCCATCATTGGTATCAGTGGGAGGAATAGTGCCCCATCATTGGTGTCAGTGGGAGGAATAGTGCCCCATCGTTGGTGTCAGTGGGAGAATAGTGCCCCATCATTGGTATCACTGGGAGGAATAGAGCCCCATCGTTGGTGTCAGTGGGAGGAATAGTGCCCCATCATTGGTTACAGTGGGAGGAATAGTGCCCCATCATTGGTATCAGTGGGAGGAATAGTGCCCCATCATTAGTGTCAGTGGGAGGAATAGTGCCCCATCGTTGGTGTCAGTGGGGGGGAGGAATAGTGCCCCATCGTTGGTGTCAGTGGGAGGAATAATGCCCCATCATTAGTATCAGTGACACCAATGATGCGGCACTATTCCTCCCACTGACACCAATGACACTTGCTGACCCCTGTTGCAGTATGGTGCTGCTGCAGCCAGCATATGTGGTTGCAGCAGCAGCTCTGCACTGCACACTTACCGGCTTTTCCCTCACTCGATTTTCGCGGGTCCGCTCGGCTCCGCATCCTCGCCCGTGATTGGCCGCCTGTGTACCTTTCCTGAGCTACAGTTCTGGCGGCCAATCACCGGTGAGGAGGCGGAGCCGAGCGGCAGGAGTGAGGGAGTGGCCGGAGTGACGGATGGAGCAGCGCTTCCTGGATGGATCATCGTGGGAGCCAGGTATGAGCAGCCCTCCGCCCACAGCTGTACGCGCCCCCCTTGACGGAGCCTCGCGCCCCCCCTGCAGACGTTGACTCGAGTATAAGCCGAGGGGGCCGTTTTTCAGCACAAAAAATGTGCTGAAAAACTCGGCTTATACTCGAGTATATACGGTAAAAGGAAACACTGAAATATCACATTAATATAAGTATTCAGACCCTTTACAACAACACTTGAAATTTAGCTCAGGGGCCTCCGATTTCTCTTGACCGGTGCTGAGATGTTTCTACACCTTGCTTGGAGTCCACTTGTGATAAATTAAATTGATTGGGCATGACTTGGAAAGGTACACACCTCTCTATTAAAGGCCTCCCGTCTGACAATGCATACTGTATCAGAGCAAAAGCCATGAAGTCAAAAAGGAACTGCCTGCAGAGTTCAGAGACAGGATTATTGCAAGCCACAGATCTGAGGAAAGCTACAAAAAATTTCTGATGCACTGAAAGGTTCTCTAAAGCACAGTGGCCTCCATAATTCTCAAAGGAAAGTCTGGCACAACCGGGACTCTTCCAAGAGCTGGTCACCCTGCCAAATTAAACAATCAGGGAGAAGGGCTTTAGTAAGAGAGGTGACTAAGATCCCGATGGTCACACCGACTGAACTCTAAAGATCCTGTGTGGAGATGGGACAAAATTCCAGAAGGACAACCATCACTGCAGTCCTCCGCTGATCTGGACTTTATTATTATGGATTTATATAGCATCAACTGTTTGTGCAGCACTTTACAGGTGAGGAGATACCCAATGAGGTGTGGTGAAGTGCATGGTGGTGACACTATATATTTTAATTTTTGCACATTCACAAAAGTATACTGAATACTTGGGGGGGGGGGTCTGTTTATGATAAAAAGGTTATTGTATGAGGTTATATGATTTTTGATTTGTTAAGTCATATTGGAAGTGCTTCACCAGTATTTGATTTTGATTTCAGTAACACAGTAGAGGGATTGCACAGTTGGGTGGTAGCTGCTTTCCTGATTAAATTTGACTTCAAATTATTTATTTATAGTTGTGAGTACGAATAGCACGGGGGGGGGGTTCTATTTTTCGTTTTCAAACATTGCCTAAAGACGGACAGGGTGGGGGCTGACCAGGCATACTGAGGTAGGGAGTTCCAGAGGATGGGAAGGGTTCTGGAGGCCGGCATGGGAGGAGGTAACAAGGGAGCTAGAGAGCAAGATGTCTTGGAAGGAGCAGAGCGGATGATTTGGACAATATCTGCAGATGAGGTTGGTGATGTAGCTAGGGGCAGTGTTGTGGATGGCTTTGTGCGTTGTGGTTAGTATTCTGAATTTTATACGTTGGGTTAGTGGAAGCCAATGGAGGGTTTGGCAGAGAGGGGCAGCAGTTGCTGATCGGTTGGTAAGGTGTATAAGCCTGGCAGCAGCATTCGTAATAGACTGAAAGTGGGATAGCCCGTGTAAAGGTAGGCCAGTGAGGAGGGAGTTGCAGTAATAAAGGTGGGATATATTCAAGGCATGGAAAAGTTGTTTTATAGTGTAGTTAGTCAGGAAAGGGCAAATTCTGGAAATGTTGCAGAGGTTGAGGCAGCAGGATTTAGCCAGTGATTGGATGTGGGGCCTGAAGGAGAGGTCAGAGTCTAGGATTACGCCTAGCACCCTGGTATGTAGGGAGGGACGAATGGTTGTGCTGTTGATCTCAATGGTAAAGTCATGAGTGGGGGAATCGGGGAGGAGGAAATATTAGAAGATCAGTTTTAGAAAGATTGAGAGCTTTATGGCAGAGTGGCTAGAGGGAAGCCTCCCCTCAGTGCAAAACACATGAAAGCCTGCTTTGAATTTGCAAAAAGCACCTAAAAGGACTCTCAGACTCTCAGCTCATCACCTGCCCAACAGTGAAGCATGGTGGTGGCAACATCATGCTGTTGGGGTGTTTTTCAGGAGCAGACTGAGTGAAAGGTTCACTTTCCAACATGACAACAATCCTAAGCACACAGCCAAGACAACACATAAGTAGCTTAGGGACAACTCTGTGAATGTTCTAGAGTGGCCCAGCCAGAGCCCTGACTTGAACCCGATTGAACATCTCTGGAGAGACCTGAAAATGGCTGTCCACCGACGATCCCCATCCAACCTGACTGAGCTTGAGAGGATTTGCAAAGAACAATGTCAGAACATCCCCCAATCCAGGTGTGCAAAGCTTGTCACATCATACCTAAAAAGACTAATGGCTGCCAAGGTGCTTCAGTAAAGTACTGAGTAAAGGGTCTGAATACTTAAGTACATGTGATATTTCAGGGTTTTTTTCAATTTATTCAATGCACAGACATTTCTAAAAGTCTGTTTTCACTTTTTTCATTATGGGGTACTAGTGTAGATTAATGAGAAAAACAATAATTTAATCAACTGTAGTATCAGGCTGCAACATAACAAAACTGGAAAATTGAAGGGGTCTGAATACTTTATGAATGTACTGTAGTTCCGGAATTATGATACAAGTCAAAATTGTGTACAATCCTGCCACCTGGTGGACACAGAATACAGGTGAAAAAAACTGAACATGCTTGGAATTAGCTGTATAGGTCTTGAATTTCTCCAAACTATCGTGTTGGAATAACAAAATAATGTGGCAGCTGCAGAAATCTAGTCCCAAGGTTCAAAAAGATAACATTTAGCATAAAATATTTCACTTCAAATCTTTGGAGATTTACATTTCTGATTATTACTAAGATAAGTGATGACATCTGCTGTACTCAAGGAAAACATAATTAATATGAATAAAACATGACATATAGCAGTAGGGGACTATGATTTGTCAGCAAGTGTGTGTTTAGGAAAAAAAAAAGATAATTTACTTACAGTACAACCTATTTCCTGGAGTGCAATACATGACAGAGGTTTCTTCAAAGCTGATCTCCAGCTTTACTGGATGAATGTAAAAAAACCTTGAGCCTTTACAACCACTTTAACATTTGCAGAGCAGAGTAGGACTGGCCATAGAGGGACTACTTTGACAGTTGGCCAACTTAAACATGTATGGCAATATGTGTACACAGCGCCCTCCTGAACCCTGCACTCTGTACGCAGCGCTCTCCTCAATCCTGCACTCTGTACGCAGCGCTCTCCTCAACCCTGCACTCTGTACGCAGCGCTCTCCTCAACCCTGCACTCTGTACGCAGCGCTCTCCTCAACCCTGCACTCTGTACGCAGCGCTCTCCTCAACCCTGCACTCTGTACGCAGCGCTCTCCTCAACCCTGCACTCTGTACGCAGCGCTCTCCTCAACCCTGCACTCTGTACGCAGCGCTCTCCTCAACCCTGCACTCTGTACGCAGCGCTCTCCTCAACCCTGCACTCTGTACGCAGCGCTCTCCTCAACCCTGCACTCTGTACGCAGCGCTCTCCTCAAACCTGCACTCTGTACGCAGCGCTCTCCTCAACCCTGCACTCTGTACGCAGCGCTCTCCTCAAACCTGCACTCTGTACGCAGCTCTCTCCTCAACCCTGCACTCTGTACGCAGCACTCTCCTCAACTCTGCACTTTGTCTGCAGTGCACTCCTGAAGTCTGCCCTGTGCAATATGCACTACTGGTATTTAACAATTCTCCATTAGGATCCTCCCACTGTTAGGCAGCGGTGCGTGAGGGTGTGGTTGAGTTCCTGCACCTATTCTGTGAGCAAAAAAAAAGCCCTGGTGAGCTTTCCCGTCCCACGGGGCACCCGAGCAACCAGCCGGCTCAGAACCGGAACCACTCTGTCTGCCTCTGATATAGAAAAAAAAGGAAGCAATGAGCATACATCACCACTGGTTTCTCCGGCACCATTTTTAAAAATGGAAAGCATTTGATCACCCAAGTTTGGTGTGATCAAATGCTTTTAAGGGCAGAGGAGGGATCCATAAGGAGTACCTCTTACTGCCTACTGCTGTCACAAGGGATGTTTAAAAAAAAATGTATAACGTTTGAGGGTTCTAGGACATTTTCAGCAAAAACTAAAAAATATTAAAAAAGTTTAAGTCACCATAAAGCCCGTTTTCGTTTTTAAAAGCACCTCTGCCTAATAAGAAACATCAACCCTTCATATTTTCCACTCTGGGGAAAAAAAATATTTTTTTTATCAAGACAAGTAGATTGGGACCCCATTTTAGTCCCTTAGGCAAGTAGTTTTTTTTTTCAATTTCCATACCCCTTTTAGTTTTATCAAAAAGAGGGATTCTTTCCAGTGTTCACAAATGTAAAGTGCATCCTTCCCACTGACCATTACATGTGGATATAGTAATTATTAGCAGGGGTTCCCTGTATGGCCTCAATTCTAAACATTATATGGAGGAAACCAGGCACTGCTCATCACCTACCCAATACCTCCCCAACAGTAAAGCATAGTGGTGGTCAACCTGAGTGAGCTTGAGAAGATTTGCAAAGAAAAATGGCAGAAAATCCCCCAATCCAGGTGTGCAAAGCTTGTCACATCATACCCAAAGACTCGAGGCTGTAATAACTGCCAAAGGTGCTTCAACAAAGTTCTGAGTAAGGGGTCTGAACACTTAAGTACATGTCATATTTGTTTTTTCTTTTTAATACATTCACAGACATTTCTAAAATCCTGTTGTCACTTTGTCATTATGGGTTACTGAGTGTAGAATAATGAGAAAAAAAATGAATTTAATTAACTGTAGTATGAGGCTGCAAGAAAACAAAATTGAAAAACGTTAAGGGGGTCTGAATACTTTATGAATGCACTGTGTATATATACAGGTTTTGTGGTTAATTAGATTAGTCAATAACTGATCTGCATTTATGAAGTAATTTGGCCAATTTATAACTGACTAATAATCTACTGAATGCAGCATGAGGTCTTGGAAGCCTGCCTTATACACAGTAAATCTGATCTATGTAACCATATATTTGTCCTAAATATTCCTGCCTCAAGGACAACATATATTGCGTAGCCTCATACAAGAAAAGTTGTGTCCCTATCGAAAAGCAATGTTCACTTCCTTTCCAGGGATAGAAGGACAAAACATGAGGTGAAATCTTTCCAAAAGGTAATAAAAAAAAAAAAAAAAAGTTTTTAAAGCGGAGCTCCACCCAAAAGGGGAAGTTCCGCTTTAAGCCTTTGTCCCCCGCTCCCCATTAAGGACTGGCACCTTTGGGGAGTGGGTACCCGAATTTGATGGGTACCCGAATTTGACAGGTACCCGCTTCCCACTTCCGCTGCGATCGCCAAGGAGATAGAAAGCAGACGTTGTCCTCCCTTCCCCGTAGTCTTCTGGGACATGCGACAGGTCCCAGAAGACTACAAGGCCATTCACAAAGTGCAGCGCTTCTCACGCATGCGCAGTGGGCACCCGGCCGTAGCTGTCACAGCCGGTTGCCACACTGAAGATGCCGGTGCCGGGGAGAGAAGACGGCCGGTGAAACCAGTCATGGTGAGGACATCACTGGACCTAGGGACAGGTAAGTGGCTGTATTTTAAAAGTCAGCAGCTACAGTTTTTGTAGCTGCTGAATGATTTTTCCAGGTGAAAGTCCCCTTTAAGTAGGGTGGGGAAGAGTAAGAACCTCTACTGCTGTCAGTGCCTTCTTGTCTCAGCAACACCTGTTCTCTCTTATTTCCATGTGTCACAGGGACAGAAAGCAAAAGAGATATCTTCCCAATAGTGTCATGACCTGTCAGAAGGCCTTAGTCTTCTGTAATCTACCCAAAAATGTTCATAAAGTTTTTATCGGGACTTCAGATTATTGAAATTGCATCAGGTCAAGGTTGTCTTCATGGCAAGGGACTGCAAAACCATAACTCTGATGGGGTGGCGACAATTCTGGAGTCTAGGAAAAGCATTAACAAAAGTGATTCAGCTTAGCACTGTCCCCATAAGAAAAATATCAGTTTTGGTAAATATTACTATTTAGAAAAGCATTTCAAATATGTGTGTTAGAGGCCCACCTCGGTACTTAAAGGTGTACTCAGCATAGTGGTATGGGCATGATCCAGTTCCTTCAGCCAGGAATCCTTGGGGAGCTTGTACACTTCCAACCAACATTCTCCAGAACCTGGAACATAGATTTGTATTTGGAGAAAAACAAACCATTTAAACCAATATTACATAAAAGACAACCGATGATCACACATACAAGTTATGGAAGTCAGAGGAGGTGGTTTCATTTATAAATCATAGACGTAATTACAGTTTGTACATTTATATTTTTGTAAGAGGTTAATTAAAAAAGACATCTCTGTATAAAATAATAACATGGCTTTGATTAATGAAACAAACAGAATTGCCAGGATTTACAACCCACAAATATCTACTATAGACACAAAGGGGTTTATTTACTAAAGCTGGAGAGTCCAAAATCAGACTCCCTTCTGCATAGAAACCAATCAGCTTCCAGGTTTCATTGCCAAAGCTTCATTGAACAAGCTGAGGTTAGAAGCGGATTGGTTTCTATGCAGAAGGGAGTCTGATTTTGGACTCTCCAGCTTTAGTAAATAAACCCCAAAGTGTACTTCAGATATTCACAACAAAGCAAACAAAATATGACCACACAAGGTAACTTCTCCTTCAAAAGGTTTTTAACCCCCCTTCTTGACCAGAGCATTTTTTTTTGCTATTCAGCACTGCACTACTTTAACTGGGAATTGCTCAGTCATGCAATACTATACTCAAATGAAATGTATATAATCTTTTTTGCGTTTTTTTTTTTTCTTTTTTACTATACAAATGAAAAGACTGAATTTTGGGGAAAAAAATTATATTTTCTACTTTCTGTTATAAAACATATCCAATAAAAAGTCAAATGTCTTCATAAATTTAGGCCAAAATGATTTCTTCTACATGTCTTTGGTAAAAAAAAGATCCAATAAGTGTATATTAATTGGTTTGTGTGAAAGTTATAGTGTACTAGCTATGGTACGTATCATTGAAAATGGATCAGTCCTGGTGTACTGACCCATCTCATTTCTTGAGGCCCTTACAATGCCTGGACAGTACAAATACCCCCAAAATGATCCTTTTTTGGAAAGCAGATGGTCTGAGGTATTTAAAGCGAAACTTCACCCAAAAAGGGGAAGTTCCTTCTGTCTGCATTACACCCCCCCCCCCCCCATGAGGGGGCGGCGGATACCTTGTTTTTACAGGTACCCGCTTCCACTTCCAGTCAGATGCGCTGCAGTGATCTGAGTCGGACGTTCAGCCCCCTTCCTTCCCCCACAGCCTTCTGGGGGTGAAAGGATGCATGTACAGTAGGAATCTGCTGGTTTCCCCTTACTTAAGATGTCGGCCTCTACACATCCAAAGCCAATTGAAGAATCAGCAGGGGTGAGGATAGAGCTGGATCCCTGACAGCTGCTACACGTACTGTAGCTGCTGCCCTTAAATTCTTTGGGGGGAGCCTGGAGCTCAACTTTAAGAGGAATGGTGAGTTTTTTGAAGTTGTAATTTTTGGGGGAAAATTAAGAGAAGTTAAATAAAATTTGTCTTTTTTTTTTTTTAAACACACTGTCACCAATGGAGTTCAGTGTCATCATATGACTGGCCATTGGCTGCCATTGTTGTCAATCACAGCCAGTGAGGAGGGAGCGGGAGGCTTATAGACACACACAGGAGTATCGGGAGCGAGCATGCACGAGTGTCCAAAGAGCAAGCAGTGTGCCCTGGGGGTACTCAGCAAGCGGGAGGACCCAGGAACACCAGCAGGGGACCTGAGAAGGAGGAGGTCTGGGGCTGCTCTGTCTAAAACCATTGCATGGAACAGGCGAGTATGACATGTTTGTTTTTTTTTTTTTTTTTTTTAAATGCTGAACCTTTAGTATCACTTTAACACAACTAACCAATGTAGTTGGTACTATTAGAATGTTATATACAGTTTATTATTATTAATTATCATTATTATAAAGTGCATACCTTCTAAAAGAACTCCAACATAGTCACCTCCATGGGACAGCTTAAATGTAATACAAACGGTGCGCTTGATTATATCTTCCTGTTAAAAACATTAAACATATCATTAGTAAGATCATCTCTACAGGACTAAAACTCCATTAAACTCTGAAGGAAAAAAGGAGCATTCACTAACAAATAAAACTCTGTACATAACAACTGTGACAGAGTATACTGGAGGACATAGGGCACATAAAGAGCATATCCTCACCCTTTGGTGGACTCTCTATAGGGAATATTTGGAAAATGCAGCTTTGCTCTCAGCATGCATATGTTAGAACAAGACCGAGATCTTCTTTCCAGGTCTTCAATTCTCCCTGATCTAGGCCAGAATACCACCCCACTCCACACACAATAGACGAACCTCTAAGGCTGTTTTAGACAGTCAGTTCTCAACCAAGGTTCCTCCATAGGTTGTTAGGGGTTCCTTGAGCTATGAGCAACTTTTTATCTCAGATAAGTAACCACTGACATCAAGGGGTTTATTTACTAAAGCTGGAGAGTCCAAAATCAGACTCCCTTCTGCATAGAAACCAATCAGCTTCCAGGTTTCATTGCCAAAGCTTCATTGAACAAGCTGAGGTTAGAAGCTGATTGGTTTCTATGCAGAAGGGAGTCTGATTTTGGACTCTCAAGCTTTAGTAAATAAACCCCCAAAGGTCTTTTCAGGTATTTTTAAGGGGATTCTTCCTACTGACCACAAACTTTAGGAGTGTTCCTCCCACCGATCTAATCTACATCTAATTGTAGAACAAATAATTCTTACGGTTTCATTTATGGCTTTCACAAAATGGAGGTTGTCTTCAGAAAAGTAAAAGAGACGAGCAATGCCTGATAACAGAAGAAAAGTATACTGATTACATAGAAGTTATCACAGTAGCAATACAATAATGTTTAAAAAAATCCATGATATTCATGATACACTAAAGCTGGGCATAGACAGATCAAAATTTGGCCAGTACAGCAGAATTGACTCCAGTACAGCCAGCCTATCAGGTTTTTTTCCCACCTCCCACCATCAGAATACAATAGCACAATGGGAGGGATTCCCTCATCAAAACTAACTGTGTTGATTGGGGAATCCAGTGATTTTATTCCCTTCTACCTGTGGTTAAAGGAAAGAAAATTGCATAGTATATGGCTAGCCCATGGTCCCCCTCCACACCTGAGCATTTTGTAGCCCTAAGATTCAACTGAAAACATGATAAACATCCTAATATTTTTAAAACATGCCTGTTCACATCTGTCACTTGAAATAGTCCAGCAGCTTATTTTCGGACAGATTTGGGAATCTTTGGCCCCACGGAATCAATGGGAATACCTGAAAAAAATGCTCGAAAATGCATGTCATGTATGTTGTCCAGACATTCTCACAATAAAAGTCAATAGATCCAAAAAGACACCAGCCCCAAAGAAGCTCCTCCATGGCACACTGCTCCAAAAACGCATAAAAATGCCTTTAAATGCGCCCTATGGCGCTGAGCCTGATGTTGCTCCATGGCTTACAAGTCTGGGACTCGGTACGTTACTCCAGTGGCCTGATGTCACCCTTTCTGCCTTTGCTCCCAATTGTTAATAATCCTCTTTTCCCACCAGGTTTGGATCACCCAGGGGCGTTCTCTTAGTGGGTGGCTAATGGTTTTTCGCAGGTGCGACACTTTTTGGTTTTTCGGTCCTTCCCCACCTGGGATTCTCTTCGGGAGTCCCGGGATGTTCCCCCGGTGGAATTTTTTCGATACCTTCAATTGCGGCACTGGCTGCTCTCGCTGCGGGGCACTTCTACTTTCCCATACCAGAAATCTGCCTTTGAACAGCTTTGCCAGCAGCGTCCGGGCGCCCCAGGCCTTATCTCCCTTCTTTATGCAGCTTTGAACAGACGCTCGTCGCATACTTCTTTCATATGTTGTTCAGTGGGAGCGTGACCTGGGAGTGGCTGTGGATCCGGAGGACTGGAATAAGGCCTGGTCACTCATAGCTAAATGCTCATTTAATACGACCACGCTGGAGGCAGCCTATAAGGTATTGTTTCGTTGGTATTGGGTTCCGGCTCATTTGGCCCAGGCCAACCCTGCCTGTAGTGATCGATGTTTTTTGGGTTGTGGCCATCGTGGTGATGTCTTGCATATCTGGTGGTCATGCCCAAAACTGGTTCGTTTTTGGTCTCGTTTTTTTGGCCTCCTTTTCACTTTGTTTCATCTCTCTATACGCCGGGATGCTCGGTATGCCTTGCTTCATTGCCCTATACCAGGCCTCTTGGCTCATCAGCAGAAGTTGGCATCCTATTTGTTTTTATCCGCCACTAGAAAAATTGCTCAGGCCTGGAAGAGTCCGTTTGTCCCCCTTCAGGGGGGTGCGGGATCGTATGACCACTATGATGCTCAACGAACAGATGTCGAGTATATGCAACGACTCTCAACGTAAATTTTCGAAAATATGGGAACCGTGGTTGCAATATGCCTTTCCCACGCTCCCTCTGGCTAGTATGGGGATGTAATGGCATTTGGCATTGGCGTTCGGTGGTGGCGCTCTCTTGGACCCGTTTTTTTTTTTTTTTTTTTTTTTTCTTCTCTCTTTCTCTCTCTCTCTCTCTCCCTTTTTCTGTTAGTTTTTGGGTGACAGTGGACAGCTGCCTTTAGTTGTTATAGTCAGAGTTTCATTAATGTTGTTGTAATCTATGTGGGCGTACCTTCTGCCTTGTTGGAGTTAGAGCACTGTTTCTCTATTATGTTTTTTCTTATCGGTGCAATTGATAGCCCCTGTGGGGGCGTGTTTTGTTGCCTCTGTTTTATACTGATTAAAATTAATAAAAACCATTGAAATATAAAAATGCCTTTAAAAATCTGACTGTAGTTGGAAACATTTTTTTAAAAACCATATTTTAAAGTGGTTCTAAAGGCTGAAGGTTTTTATGCATTTTAAGCAAAAGATATATGAAGGGAAAAAAAAAAATCTCGATTCAGCGATGCACGAGGGCAGCAGCTCTCCTGGGTCTCTCGCTCCTCATTGGCTGAGACAAAGATCCCGCTCCTGTCAATCACAGCCAGTGAGGAGGGAGCGGAGGCAGGGCCGAGCCATGCTCTATAGGTCTTATGGACATACAGGGCCAGCTAGGGAGCAAGTATGCAGGAGTGCCCCCCAAGCAAGCAGCTTGCTAAGGGGGCACTCAGCAGGGGGGAGGAGCCAAGAGCACTGGCGGGGGACCTGAGAAGAGGAGGATTGAGGTTGCTCTGTACAAAACCATTACACACAGCAGGTAAGTATAACATGTTTGTTTGGTTTTTCTTTGTTTGTTTTCTTTTAATTTGAACCTTTAGTATTACTTTAAGTATTCATGTTAACAGTATGTAGGACAGATGTTTACCCATGTCATCCACCGTGCCAACAAGGTAGGTCTGATTTTTCACTTGGCACACACTCAGGCTGCACACTTCCAATTTATCTGCTTCCCAGCCGCAAATCCAGTCTCCACCGGACAAGCTGTAAACCATCAAACCCTCAGAAAGGCCGACAAATAAAAACGATCCATTTGTCCTGCAGAAACACAATTAACTCTTCTGGATACCTAAAAGTAATGAAAGAAACATCTCAAAAGGTGAAGATATAAGCGAAAAAAATATATTAAAAAAAGGAACACAATCATGTATCAGATTTTTTTATTTGAAAAAAAAAAAAGCTAAATGGATTATATGCACTTTAAAAATAATAGATCAACCAATATACAGCATCTATTGCCCCATAAAACAAGTAGCTTGGCATATTTAGGATGTGCAATCCGTGATATGATATTCAGGAGATTAATCTGTGGAGCAACACAGTGTGGCCAGGAATACATGGCTGTCTGAGAACTCGGAGGATGGATGGGATTCACCAGGCTCTTATAGTTCTAATCTCTTTTTCGGAGGAACATTCTCCACAGTATTACTTTATAGCAGCTTTTCTCAACCAGGGTTCTGTGGATTTCTATATAGGTTGCCCGGGGTTCCTTGAGCAATGAGTACTGACAGCAACAATTGTTTTTAGCTATCTGGAAGGGAAGGGGAAAGGGGGGGTGGATTTCTTCCCAATAACCACAAATATAAGGAACATCCTTCCCAGTGACCATCACGCTCATGCACCATGATCTGTACATATAGAGACTATTAGCAGGGGTTTCCTGAAACTGGAAAGTTATTTCAAGGGTTCCTCCATGTTAAAAATGATTTAGAATGGCTGCTCTATAGTGCAAATTTGCAGTGTAATGCATATCAATGCAAATCTTGATTTATGAACTACCAGATTTCAACAGTACTCTGCTGGCCTTAGGTCTGACTGTTCAACCCTTGGTAGCCAAGGATCCTAGAACCTACAGAAAAATGGACAGCCACTGAGTACAAGTTAATTGAATGAGGTCTAGGTAACATTAAGGGTAAAGACAGAAGGAGGAACTAATTAAAGGAGAAACATACATACTTACCTAAGTGGCTGCAGCATCAGTCCAATGTTGCAGCTGTCCCCCACCAGCTCTAAGACTGAGAACTGAGCGATCACATAACCGCTGATTGCTCAGTTCTCCCGTCTTCTCTGAAAAGAGACTGTCAGTCAACACTCTCTGCTTTGCCCCTCCAGCTCTCACTGGCACACCATGCTGTGGAAGGGGCAGGAGTGGCTGTCTTAGTCTTTCAGTGACGCGGTGAAAGGCTAAGGCAGCTGCTGGGCAGGCATCTACAGGAATCTCAACATTATTGTTGGGATCTGTGCTGAACTTGGACTGGTTCTGTAACGTCAGCAGACTTCACCCATTGGCTAAATCTGGGTGCAGAAATAAGTGAATTCCTGTGATCCAGAAGAGAAGTATGGCAAAAAAAGGCTTTGGCCAGATCAGGACACTCTAAAGGAGACTTTCTCAGCCTTATTACCCAAAATGAACCCTTAATATATTTTTCATGCCTCAGGTAAACCCCACTAATATTTGCTCATCGGGTGTCATTGGAAAAATGCCCCTTATATTGGTGAGGATGTACTACTTCCAGTTATGGCCAGAATATCACCCTTGTTGGCTCAGCCAAGTGGCATTAGACCTGGAATTATGAACACATCATTAGATGGGAGGTCAGTTAGCCACAGCTCAAGGAACTCCAAGTCACCTCTGCAGGAACCCTAGTGTTCCACAGAACCCTGGTTGAGAATGGTTTCCCTAAAGGAAACAATAAACAAACGTCATCTCAGATAGGTAAAGGAGAATCAACAAAGAGTAAGCCAAGGAACAGACACTCAAAGGTGCTACTTCCAGGCAAAATGTTCGCCAGAGGTGATCACCAGCTGTACCAAAATAGGAGTAGATGCTCAAGGGTGGTACCTCTAGGCAAAAAGGTTGCCGGAGGTAATTAAACAAAGAACGATGAAACTAGTGAGCAACAAAGGAAGCTGTAAAGAAGTATGAAAAAGTGCAAAGCCAGAGATAAGTACTAGCAGCATTAAACAAGGCAACGTCAAAGCTAGAGGAGACTGGTGGAAGCAAGCCTCAGCAGGACACTAGACATGTGCATAGCAAAAACCTGCGTTTCGATTAGTTAAGTTACTAATTTTGTTTAGTTGCATTCGTAAAAAAATTTAATTTTGTTTACTAGTTTTGAATTTTTCCAATGGATTAGAAATATTCGAGTCAAATTTGAATAAAAAAAAAAAATAGAATGAATGCAAATTCATTGTGAAGAATAGCTGGTTCTCTTCTATAGAAGAATAGCTGGTTCTATTCTACAGCTATATTCTATCGGAAATTCAAATTTGGGAAAATTCCTATAGTCTTTCTATTCTATTTGAAATTCAAATTTCGTAAGACAACTATATTTTCTTTTTTTCAATTCTATTCGGAATTCGAATTTCGGAAGATGGCTACTTACGATTGTATTTTTTTTTTTTTTATTCTATTCTTTTCTTTTCGAATCTATTCTTTTGTTTTCTATTAAATTTTTTCTCTATTCTATTATTTTCTATTCCTTTATATTCTATTCTATTATTTTATTGCCTATTCTTTTGATTTCAATTCAATCTATTTTACTCTATTCCATTCTATTCTTTTCTAAATTCAAATTTTGGAAGACAGCTATATTATATTCTACTTTATTCTTTTCTATTTCTTTATTTTCTGTTCTATTCTATTCCATTCTATTCTTTTCAATATTCGAATTTTGGAAGACAGCTCTATTCTAACACTAATACACGCAGTCTTTGAAGGAAATCAACAATAGTCAGCAATATGCTAGATTTGTTTAAATTAGTTGTAATTCGGAAATTCATATACATCTGAATCTTTGAATAACAAAAATTTTGTTCGAATTTTGATTCAGAAAAAAAACTGTATATGTCCACAGGACACACACATATGGATTGGAGACATCCAGCCAACAAAGGGTTGTTAGGGTGGTAAGGACAGAAGAGATGGCATAGCAAGCAGAAGAAGCCAGGAAAAGTAAGATCAACCTAAAGATGGTCATACACAAAGCAAATTTTGGATGGTTCTTGATGAGCAAGTTAAATTTCAAGGCATGGGTGGCCATGTTGGTACCCTCCCACCTGACAGCCATTGATATGAAAATCAAAGGATTTGGATAGAAAAATGTTGACTGAACAGCAGCTGCATCCAATGAGATGAAGCTACTGTTTGGTAATTCTAACAGTCATTGGCGGTGGTAGAGCACAATAGCAGAAGATTCTTCCATCTACACTGTTTAGCGTGGATGGGGGAAGCAGTAGATTTTTATCATTCAGGTTGAGGGACTGAACGAGAGAAATCTTGCAGTGTATGGCCAGTGTGACGGGAGTCACTTTGGGTGGGGGGGCCCATGGAACACAGCTCACTGTGGAGAGGTGGGGAGACTCCTGCCTCAGCTCCCCATATCCCTATTATGTGTAAGTCACCCTGTGCCTGTTAGGGATACAGGGTGAAATGTCCTAATATTGGGGTGGGGGGGGGTTGTTCATTGTTTAATGCCATGTGGTTGTATCCCATGTTTCTATTGTGTGTCTTGCTTAGGAGCAAACTATTATGGGATGTATGTGTTTGTGTATTGGCTTGGTGGGGGGGGGGGGGGGGTGTCTGCTGATGTGTCTTTTGTTGCTAGATGTGGTTGGCCCCGCCCTGTGTCGTTAAGCAGGGAGGGGGGAATTGTTCCCTTGAATGTATATATCTTGTATCTGTGTTAATATAAAGTAGTCTATTTCCTGATTTATTTCAAGACTGGTCTTGTCTAGTCTCGTATGGTCAGCGGTGGTGTCTGTGGACGGTGTGGGGGACGAGGAAGTGGTAATACCCAAGTGCAGGCTGGGACGGTTTCATTACAGCCAGCATAAGACAGCTTATCACTTGGCTTAAAAGCAACATGATACAGGGGATTCATATTGAAATTCATATTAAAATTGCAGTGTAGTTCCCCAATGCTCTCTTAATGTGACACAAAGGCTTAGGCAACTATACATAATCTGGAGAACACACTTCACCCTGGCCAAGCTATATAGAATGGGTATCTTGGACTCCCCCACCTGTAGTAGGTGTTCCAGAGATCATGGGGATTTCACTCATTTACATATCTACTAGGCACGGGTGGTGCATACGTTAAATACAGTGTTTGAAACCTCCATCCCACTTGATCCTACACCCTGTAGATTGTATATTAGGCGATTTTCAATTACAAGCTCTCATTAGGGAGGCTGTTGCTAGAGCACTTTACAAACTCAGAGGGCTACACTGTGCCATTGGAAATCATCTGACCCCCCCTTCCCATATGGAGTGGGTACAATGCATGGGTGAAACCCTAGAGAAGTACATTTACCAACACGAAGGCTGTTTCCGTAAATCTGAAAATCTTTGGGGCTTGTTGGAAATTCCAGGTTTGAGTCGGTGGACTTCGTTATGGATAGACTTCTCATAAGTTGAGTCTGTATCTCTATAATAGGTACCTATGGGTGGTATTCCTGCCCATCGGAAACAACTGGTATAGCAGCAGCTGCACTGTAATTATCTACCTCTGACCTGTAAGAATTCTGCTAATTGGAGTCGTATTCCTTTGGCCTTTTTGTTCTGCCCCAAGTTTTTGATGATGTTTATATCATGTTTGAGAGGAAGTTCTGGAAGTGCTGCACAATTATCTTCTCTTACTTTTAATAAAACTTTATTTGATTTGAAAAAAAAAATTGTAGTGCCATAAACATAATTACTTGGATTTCAGAAGCTGGCTGTAAGATGTCAGTTTTCTTTTTGAGTTTCTCCTCTTCACGGTTTTGTTCCCGTATCTCGATGACCTCAATGGTCTGGTCAATCAAGAGTTCTACCACCTTTGCTATCATGCGATACGGCTGTGGCAGCAAATCTCGTGCTTGGTCTGGATCCCTCAAAAAATAATCCTCATGTTCTTCACTGGCCCAGTCCTTCTCGGAACCCGGAGGGATTTCTAAGGGCCCCTTCCTAATGTAAATCGGCATCCTGCAGGCTGGAGATCTGGGAATACAATAGTCTGCAAACTGACCCCTTCAGAAATTCACGGGATGTTACCTAAAAAAAAAAAAAAAAAATAGGTAAAGAAGTTCTACATGGAAATGGAAAAACATAGAAAGTGGAAGAATTACAGGTATGGAAATTTTATGCATATACATGTGCAATTCGTTTTGTTACTAATCGGAATTTGGACAAAATTTTCACTATTCAGAGATTTGGATGTTTGCGAATTTACAAATCACAACAGTAATGAATTTCAACGCATTCTTAATAAAATAGTCAAATGCGAATTAGAAATGGAAATATATTACAATAAATACAGTAAGGTAAAAAAAATGAAATAAGATGATAATTCTTATTTAGGCTGCAGAATAGAATAGAAAATGTTGGGGAAATCTGATGTACAGGGAAACTCTCCTGGGGACATCTGATGTAAAGGGGGACTCTCCCAGGGACACCTGATGCAATGGGGGGGGGGGGGGGGGGGACTCTGCAGGGGACACCTGATGCAACGGGGGGAGGGGAACTCTTTTGGGAAAACCTGATGCAAAGAGGGGAGGGGAACTCTGCTGGGGTCACCTGATGAAGCGGGGGGGGGGGGGGAGGGAATAGTATATTATAGTTGAACGTCTCTCCACCATCACTCTATGGAATGGTATCGTTGGACTCCTCCCCCGTCACTCTATGGAATGGTATAGAATCGTTGGACGTCTCTCCCCCGTCACTCTATGGGAACGGTATAGAATAGTTGGACGTCTCTCCCCCGTCACTCTATGGGAACGGTATAGAATAATTGGACGTCTCTCACCCGTCACTCTATGGGAACGGTATAGAATAGTTGGACGTCTCTCCCCCGTCACTCTATGGGAACGGTATAGAATAGTTGGACGTCTCTCCCCCGTCACTCTATATGGGAACGGTATAGAATCGTTGGACGTCTCTCCCCCGTCACTCTATGGGAACGGTATAGAATAATTGGACGTCTCTCACCCCGTCACTCTATGGGAACGGTATAGAATAATTGGACGTCTCTCACCCGTCACTCTATGGGAACGGTATAGAATAGTTGGACGTCTCTCCCCCGTCACTCTATGGGAACGGTATAGAATAATTGGACGTCTCTCACCCGTCACTCTATGGGAACGGTATAGAATAGTTGGACGTCTCTCCCCCGTCACTGTATGGGAATGGTATAGAATAATTGGACGTCTCTCCCCCGTCACTGTATGGGGATGGTATAGAATAGTTGGACGTCTCTCACCCGTCACAGCTCTTCTCATCCACACTCAGCATTTCCTCTACACAACATCCCTATGAGTCCCGACTTGTTGATGGTTGTCACCATGGTAACCACGCGATCTCGGAAGCAGCATGTACCCATTTCCGGAGTAATGAGCACCGGAGGCGGGGCTAGGAAATAGCACGCACCAGTGAGCAGGTTCGGAGTCGGGTCACATGATACTCCTCCCGGGAGCGCGCACGCTGAGTAGGGCAGGTGGAGAGGCGTGGCCGCGCAGGCAGGGAATGCAGTGAGAGGCTCCGGTGACACGGCTGTGAATGTGGTGGGAGGTGTCACCGTGCAGGTGAGTACAGACCGGGGGTACATTCCTGGTGACACCTCTGTCTCTCTCAGGTAGTCTGAGCGGAGGGGGTCGGTGAGGAGGTGTGGAGTGGTTGGCTCTGGTTATATAATGGAGAAGACCTGTAGCTGTCGGAGCTCTGAGCCAATCAGTGGAGAGGAAATGGGCATACATGCTGCGATGAGACCCAATGATCCAATCTGATCCATCCAGGCAGACATGTGGCGGCAGGGATAGGTTGTGACAGGTGTGATTGATCCAATCTGATTGGTTGTGGCAGAAAAAAAAAAAATATATGTATTGTAGTGGTGTGACGGATGGTGATGTATGTGCCCCGCATTCTCCCCACACATGGCTTGTGATCAGGAAAAGAGAACTGAGCATCTGACCAAAAGACACCATCCCATCGCTTATGTATGGTGGGGTCTCCAGATTATGTGAGGGGGGGGGGGGCTCTGATCTGTAGGGAGGGACTCTAATATGTAAAAGGGCTCCGATCGTTGGGGGGGCTCTGATCTGTAGGGAGGGACTCTAATATGTAAAAGGGCCTCCAATCGTTGGGGGGGGGGGGGGGGGGATACTCTGATCTGTAGGGTGGGACTCTAATATGTAAAGGGTCTCCAATCATGGGGGGGACTCTGATCTGTAGGGAGGAACTCTAATAAGTAAAGTGGCTCCAATCTTTAGGGAGGGACTCTAATATGTAAAAGGACTCCGATCTCTGATCTGTAGGGAGGGACTATAAGATGTAAGCAGGGACGTTTGGTGGGGACGCTGATCTTTAGGGAGGGACTCTAATATGTAAAAAGGACTCCGATCGTTGGGGAGCTCTGATCTGTAAGCAGGGACTTTGATCTGTAAGTGGGGGGACTCTGATCTGGGGGGGGGGGGGCTCTGTATGTGCATGATGAGGATCTTCCTGGCTGCAGTATGTGGAGTAGACATGTGAGCTGGTTGTGTGCGGAGTCCTGTCCTGTACACACAGAGGGCACATGTCACTGACAGGTGAATAACGTAGGATTTTTTTCCCCTAAAACTGCTCCTGCGACATTTGTCTCCAATAGTACTTAATTCACTAAAAAACTGACCTTACGTAAGCACTTGACCTCCGGAAGGTCCCCCTCCCCCCCTCATTACAAGGGCATTTTTTGCTATTCAACACTGTGCTACTTTTACTGGTAATTGCACTGTCATGCAACGCTGTACCCAAATGAAATGTACGTCCTTTTCTGCACACAAGTAGAGCTTTCTTTTTGTGGTATTTGATCAATTTTTAAAACATAAATGTAAAAATACCAACAATTTTGGAAAAAAAAAACAATATTTTATAAATAACATAAATATTTGATACTTCTATCCAATCAGACATCTTCATAAATGACAACGCGTGTTCTGCTACACGTCTTTGGGAAGAAAACCAATTCCCAGTAAGGTGTATATGAATTGGTTTGTGTGTTCTGAGTCTACAAACTACGGGATAGATACTGGAATTTACACAGCTGTGTTGCTATACTGGTAATAACAATGATCAGTGACTTGTACTGTGATAGTGTGGCGGGAAATCTGGCGCTAGGAGACACTATCTGGGAGGATCACTAACTGACACTGGCATCGCTAATGACACTAATACAGTGATCAGTAATAATACGGCACACTGAAACTGTACTGACAACACTGGCTGGGAAGGGGTTAACATCTAGGGGCAATCAAGGGGCTCATTGTGCGCCTAACAATGTGTAATATGTGCTGCTTTTGCTTTTCAGTTTGGCTGTTTATCTTCCAAGCTTTGCAGGGAGAATAAACAGCCAGATCACTGTTCTTTGTACACAGAGTTCTGTGTGTTTTGTAAACACAGAGCTCTGAGTGTGATTGGACACACATTTTTATGTTGTTTTATATCGCAGGTTTTATTTTTTCCCCAGGCTAACACTGCAGCAGGGAAGACCGTCATATGAATGAAAGCACACAGGATATTGGTAAACCAGGAAACCATCCTTAGTCTAGGTTCACACCTATGCAGTTTGCATTTGATCACTTTCTGAAGTGCTTTTTGCGGTGCATTTTGTGTTTTTTGCACATGCGTGTTTGACATGTTTTTGATGCGTTTTGCTTTTTTTTTTTTTTTTTTTTTTTTTTTATTCCAACTTGCTGCTGGCCAGATTAAAACGCATCAAAAGCTCACTACTTGCATTTCTGTAGCGTCTCCATTGACGTGTATTGTACCAAAACGCAACATTTTGCGTTTAACCTCCCCTGGAGGTATTCCCAAGTGTCGCTCGGGGTAAAGTTTCTTCACTTATCTTGTCCTGCGCTCCCGTAATGTCCCTCCTGCAGTGTCCCCGGCAATGTCCTCCGGCCGATGCCGGCATCTGTCATCTGGGTTCCGTTCCCTGCGACGTCGGGACATATGAGGGACGGAACGGCGGGAAATTTGAAAATGACAAAAAGTGACATTCACTAAAATCACATAGTATAACATTACTGTATCAAACCATTTCACATACATTTTGTCCCGAGTGCTTTGTCCTGCGCCCTGCCTGCATTTTTACTGTTCTTTCTGCCTGGAAACTGAGAAAAGTCCATGGCGTCCAAAAAGTGTCCCTTTAGGTCAAAAGCGGTTTTAGACCGGCTAGAGAACAGCGATAGTAAATCAGAACCACTTGCAGAATTGAGTGATAATGATTCGTGGGGGAAATTCGTCATCAGACACTGAAAACGATGTTGCGACTTTGCTCAGCGATGTGCGAACTTGGCGCTATATTTCAAATTTCAGTGTTTTTGGTTTGATTATATTATTGAATTAAATGTATATTATTATTATATTATTATTTTTTATGATTATTTATTATATTATAATTTTATGATTACGTGTTCCAAATTTTATCATACCCGGGATGTTTACTAGACTCTTGTTCGGACAGATTTCAGTGAGTTATTCCTAAGAATTACAGGCCTACAATAAATAAAAAAAAAAAACATATTCCATGCAAAAAAAGTACCGCTTTGAGCACAGAAATATAGACATAATCAGACCGCTAGGGAGGTTACAAAAAGTCCCTGATCCTTTCCAAAATACGCACCGGGTGAAAATGCGGAGATGTGGACCTGTCCCATAGAAAATCATGTTAAATTATTATTATTATACAGTATTTATATAGTGCCAAAGGGTGTGCTCAGCGCTGTACAGTAGCAAGGGGGAAAGAACATGAGACAAGACAGTAACAGTACAATACACGAGGGGTTCGAGGGCCCTGCTCTTTCGAGCTTACAATCTAGGAGGGAGGGGAAGGTGGCACAGGAGGAGATGGCTGTGGGGGATGGAGTGGTGGGAGGAGTGGAGGAGGTTAGTTGTTAGGTTGTTAGATCTTTAGGAAATGGATTGTAGTCTGTTTCTGCAAAACGCACAGGTATTACTCTAGGTCAGCAATGGGCAAACTACGGCCCGCGGGGCGTATACGGCCCGGCGGACCTTTTAATCCGGCCCGCGGAGCGTGGCAAACATGGCTGTCAGGATGTAGGCGCGGCAGCGTGACGAACGTGAGGGGAGCTAGGCTCCTCTCACAATATGTCCGCCCTGAAGACCGGAAATTACGGCGCGGGAACACGGCGAGAGGAACGCGCGGAGCAAAGGTAAGTGAAATTGACACAATAGGGGGGATTACTATATGAATTACTATAGGGGGTGAATTACTATATGGGGGATGAATTACTATATGGGGGATGAATTACTATATGGGGGATTAATTACTATATGGGGGATGAATTACTATATGGGGGATGAATTACTATATGGGGGATGAATTACTATATGGGGGATGAATTACTATAGGGGGGATGATGAATTACTATAGGGGGAATGAATTACTATAGGGGGGATGAATTACTATAGGGGGGATGAATTACTATATGGGGGATGAATTACTATAGGGGGGATGAATTACTATAGGGGGATGAATTACTATGGGGGATGAATTACTATAGGGGGATGAATTACTATAGGGGGGATTAATTACTATGGGGGGATTAATTACTATATGGGGGATTAATTACTATAGGGGGGATGAATTACTATATGGGGGATGAATTACTATAGGGGGGATGAATTACTATGGGGGATGAATTACTATATGGGGGATGAATTACTATATGGGGGATGAATTACTATGGGGGATGAATTACTATATGGGGATGATGATTACTATGGGGGATGCATTACTATATGGGGGATGAATTACTATATGGGGGATGAATTACTATAGTGGGGGATGAATTACTATATGGGGGATGAATTACTATATGGGGGATGAATTACTATGGGGGGATGAATTACTATAGGGGGGATGAATTACTATATGGGGGATGAAATTACTATAGGGGGGATGAATTACTATATGGGGGATGAATTACTATGGGGAATGAATTACTATATGGGGGATGAATTACTATGGGGGATGAATTACTATATGGGGGATGAATTACTATATGGGGGATGAATTACTATGAATTACTATGGGGGATGAATTACTATATGGGGATGAATTACTATGGGGGATGAATTACTATATGGGGGATAAATTACTATAGTGGGGGATGAATTACTATAGTGGGGGATGAATTACTATGGGGGGATGAATTTACTATGGGGGATGAATTACTATAGGGGGGATGAATTACTATTAGGGGGGATGAATTACTATGGGGGATGAATTACTATAGGGGGGATGAAATACTATAGGGGGGATGAATTTGGGGACTATATGGGGGATGAATTACTATAGGGGGGATGAATTACTATGGGTCCGGCCCCCAGGGTCCAATATATGAACCCATTGCGGCCCTCAAGTCAAAAAGTTTGCCCACCCCTGCTCTAGGTCCACATCTACAGGTGCGCATGTGCATCACACACCTGAGCTGTCCTGCACACAAGAAAAAAAAAAAAAAAAAAAAAGTCCTTGATTCCAAATATTTTCCAACGCGTTCACAGAGCACGTCCGCAGACACTTGGAGGTGTCATTATTAATTAATGGCACTGCCGCGCATTTCCTAAAGATCCGCTCAGTTCTGTGCGTGTCAGGAAAGCTCATGAGTTTTCATGCATTCCCGACATGCGTAGATGTGAACCTGTCCTAAACTTAGGTTCACATCTGTGTGTAATTTAGTGTGTTTGCAAACTTTCAGAAACATTCTGCAATCCACCTAACATTTTTTCACTATGAGACCCCTTCACATCTATGCAGTTTCCAGCAGTGCGTTTTTGAAAAAAAGTTTGTGGTGTGCTTTTGACTCAGTCGACTTCAATGGTACTGACTCAAATACTCATACGTGTGTTTTTTTTAGTAGGGTATTTTGTTTAACAACCCGTCCTCAGCATTTATAACCACTTAGGGCCGGTTCACACCATAGAAACGCAGTTCAGATGCATCTTCGTATGCACGTTTTTGGTGCATTTTTGATGCGTTCAGGTTCATTTTTTTCCCCTTTCTTTTTTTTTTCAATGCAAATAGGGACGTGTGTTTGTTTTACCTCGTTCCAGTACAGTTCTGTGCAGGAAAAATGCGGCATGTTCTACTTTTTCTTTTCTTCAACCAGAACGCACTGTAGCTGCAAGCACTGATGTGAACTTTGACATTGACTACCATATGACCTACTTTGTGCGTTTTTGGATGCAGGAGGAAAAGCACACTGAAATGCATGTGGTGTGAACTGGCCTTTAAAGCGGAACATCGCTCTTTCAGTCTGCATTGACTATTTTTAATCCTTATGCTGCAAGCAATAGTAAATACACTGTGTGCACAACTATTAGGCAAGTCAGTATTTTGACCAAATCATCATTTTTATGCATATTGGCCAACTCCAAGCTGTATAAACGTGAATGTTTATTGGTTTTAGGCATTATTAGGTGATGTGGGGAGGGCTGGGGGGAAGAGAAAGCTGCTGCTGGAGGGAGGATTTGGCTATCAGCCACTGCTCCTTCTGACAGGAGTGACACTGCACACACTTCTGTCAGTAAGGAGCAGGAGGAGCGTCCCACCACCTAGTCCCGACCCTGCATACACTATACAATCTGATTGTCCGATCTCCTACAGATTTATCAACAGGTATGTAGTACAAGAGCCTTTGATTGGATTGCATAGGTGTGTTCTCATATGACATACACTGTGTGCACAACTATTAGGCAAATTAATATTTTGACCAAATCATCGTTTTTATTCATATTGGCCAACTCCAAGCTGTATAAACTTGAATGCTTATTGGATGTAAGCATTATCAGGTGATGTGGGGAGGGCTGGGGGGGAAGAGAAAGCCAAATCCTCCCTCCAGCAGCAGCTATCAGCCACTGCTCCTTCTGACAGGAGTGACACTGCACACACTTCTGTCAGTAAGGAGCAGGAGGAGCGTCCCACCACCTAGTCCTGACCCTGCATACACTATACAATCTGATTGTCCAATCTCCTACAGATCTATCAACAGGTATGTAGTACAAAAGCCTGCAAAATGCAACAGAAATGGGTCACGCAATTTTATAGAAAGCTGACTATACAATCTGATTGTACAATCACTTTTGCATCTAAAAACACCTGTGTAATATAGGAGCCTGTGTGTTTGGATAGAATTTGATTGGATTGTATAGGTGTGTTCTCATATGACATACACTGTGGGCACAATTATTAGGCAAGTGAGTATTTTGACCAAATCATCATTTTTAAGCATATTGTCCAACTTCAAGCTGTATAAACGTGACTGCTTATTGGATGTAAGCATATCAGGTGGTGTACTTGTGTAATGTGGGTGGGAGTGGCCTAAGGAGGTCAACACCCTATATCAAGGTGTGCATAACTATTAGGCAGCAAAATGGGCCAAAAAAGAGATTAAACTGACTCTGAAAAGTCAAAAATTGTAAAAAGGCTTGCAGAGGGATGCAGCACAAATTGCTAAGATATTGGGGCGTGATCACAGAACCATCAAACGTTTTCTTGCAAATGGTCAACAGGGTCACAAGAAACGTGTTGAGAAAAAAAAGACGCAAATTAACTGGCAAAGATTTGAGAAGAATCAAATGTGAAGCTACCAGGAACCCATTATCCTCCAGTGCTGTCATATTCTAGAACTGCAACCTACCTGGAGTGCCCAGAAGTACGAGGTGTTCAGTGCTCAGAGACATGGCCAAGGTCAGGGAGGCTGAAACCCGACCACCAATGAACAAGACATAGAAGTTGAAATGTTAAAATTGGGCCAAGAAATATCTGAAGACAAAGTGTTCAAAGGTTTTATGGACTGATGAGATGAGTGACTCTCGATGGACCAGATGGATGGGCCTGTGGCTGCATCAGTAACGGGGACACAGAGTTCCACTTTGACTCAGATGCCGGCAGTGTGGAGGTGGGGGGTAGTGGTATGGGGTGGTATTAAAGATGATCTAGTTGGATGTTTTCGGGTTGAGGATGGACTCAGAATCAACTCTCAAACCTACTGCCAGTTTTTAGAAGACACTTTCTTCAAGCCGTGGTACAAGAAAAAAATCTTCATCTTTCAAGTAGAGCATGATAATTATGCAGGACAATGCTCTATTGTATACATCGCAGTACTCCACTGTATGGGAGGCCTTAAAGTGTTACTAAACATTGGACCCCGCATTCACTATATCCGGTCTCCCCGGACCCTGCATTCAC